TCAATCAGGGCTATAGTCTTGGAGGTGTTATCCCTCGCTTCCCTCAAGGGGACAAACCCAACCTGGTCATTGTGTATGATGTCGGGTATTAGAGGTTGAAAGCGTAGGGCTAGTAGTTTAGCATATAACTTAATGTCGCAATTCAACAAGGAAATCGGGCGATAACTCCCAGGCAAGGAGGGGTCCTTACCTGGTTTTAATATCAGGGAAATATGTGCTAGTAGGGATTGAGGGGCAAAGGGACAGGAAGGGGAGATAGAGTTAAAGACATCCACCATTAGTGGGGAGAGTTCAGGGGCAAAAAGTAAAAAAAACCTTGCTGTGTAACCATCAGGGCCTGGGGCTTTACCGTTTTTCGTGGCTTTGATGGCTCTAGTGAGTTCCTCAATGGATTATGGTGAAGGGAGAGTTAAGGGTAGAGCGTAGCCCAGGGGGTATGGATGGCAAGGGAGTCCTGTCTAGATATTCGGATAAAGCCGTGGGGTCGCGTAGAGAGGGAGGTGTGTTGTCAAGGGAATCTAGGTTATAAAGCTTCGTGTAGTAATCATGGAAGGAGTTCAAAATGTCAGTATTATTAGTATTACCGTCAGGAGAGCGTATGGATAAGATAGAGTGCAAACCCTGTCGTGGGTGTAATGGTGCGGTCCAATAAGGAGCTGCATTTATTACCATATTCATACGATCGCTTCAGGTAGCGATCCCTGTAGCGTAAGGAAGCCTGATCTAGGAGCGCCAGCAATTGTTTAAGAGTATTCAGGAGTTCCAATCCCGTGGAATCGTCTCCTCCTAGTTTATGTGATCTCTCTAGTGTGGTTATCTTTGCAAATAATGAGGTAATTTGCTGGGATCACCACTTCTTAAGCCGGGCACCATGCTTGACAAGGATTCCCCTTATTACGCATTTGAGTGCTTCCCATTTAAACGGGTCATTAGTATGATCTAGTTGGAAATTAGAGACGGCCTGCCTGATCTCCGCACAGCACACTATGTCAGAGAGGAGATTGTCATTCAACCGCCAGAATGGGGAGGTGGGTGGTATCGCAGAGAAGCGGAGGGAACAGAAAAGCGGCATGTGATCCGACCACACGCGAGGCCCAATGCTTATACCCGGGGAGGCGTCAAGTAAGGTTTGAGAGACAAACACGTAGTCAATCCTACTGTAGGAGTTATGTGCATGTGAGAAAAAGGTATAGTCTGTGACGTCAGGATGTAGAGTCCGCCAAAGATCAAGAAGGTGCATGGAGGCAAGTTTAAGTTTCAACTTACGTAAGTCTGAATTCGAGACGGAACTTCTACCAGAGGATGCATCTCGGCGTGGGTCTAGAGGCAGGTTGAAGTCGCCACCCATAATTATGGCACCCTCCGCGAAGGACTCCAGGACCCTCAGATAACGCAGACAAGCGGTAACCTGGGAAGAATTAGGCAAATAGATATTAGCAATTGTATACTTGAAGCCGTTTAATGTGGTTTTTAGAAAAACGTATCGCCCCAAGGGGTCAATGGCAGAGTCCAATACATTAATCTTACATGTTTTGTGAATCCCAATGGAAACGCCCTTAGATTTAGTAGAGGGGTCAGTGCTGTGAAACCATTCCCTATAGTAGCGCTGGGAACAAGCTGGGTGCTTCCCAGCGCAAAAGTGCGTCTCCTGCAGGAGCACAATATAAACTTTTTGCTTATGCATGTGGTAAAGAATCTGGGACCGTTTAGAGGGGTGGTTTAACCCTTTCACATTAAAGGAACTTATTGACAGGGACATGGGAAAGCAGAGTAATCAGCATAATGGTGGTAACAGTGTGACCGATCAGTGGTATGTACCGCCCCAGGAACATATAGAACAGACAAGACCATGCACAGACAAAACAGGGGTGACAGGACAAAGAACATAAAGGAAAACAACCATAACAAATAGAAAGGTGGCTCGCAAGGGGAGCCCAGATGGGACTGTACCATAGAGCCATGCCCACCAGGGCAGGCTCCAGGTAGAGAACCCAAAACAGCTAAAGCTGGCCAAACACCTACTGTAACGTGGGTGACCTAGTGTGGGGGCAGGGGGGCCCAAACGGAGCGAACAGATGGAAAATCTGCTCATGGGCGGCGCCCCACCACCAGCCTAGTAATAATAAACGCATATACATACTAAAGTAAGGATGGGGTTATGCATTGTAACTTGAACAATGCAAACAACACAAGGCATATCAGTGAACTGTAAACTGAAACAGAGATGGTTTAACCATAACCATGAACAGACACCCCGCTAACTAAAAGCAGCAGTGACATGGGTTCCTAAGATGTAGAGAACAGGGCAAAATCAGTGTTCTCAAACTGAAAGGAACATTCCGCGATGGGACGAAATTCTCCGGACCTCATTAGGTAAGCCGCCTAAAGGGAGGAAAACAAATCACTTCACTGAGGTTGCTGAGGAAGCAGATCTGCGAGGAGACTTCGTCTGCCAGTGTTCACGGACCGGAACATCAGGAAAGCCCGTGGTGTAGGGCCAATCCGGGAGGGATATCTGGGCCAGCTGAAAAAAGCCAAGGGACCGCGGCAGGTCACCCAGATGTCGGAAGATCGTGGATTTCCAATCGCGGGATGCGATCAGATGAAATGGGTAGCCCCAGCGGTAAGTGATGCTGTTTGCACGGAGCACTTCCAGAAGTGGTTTGAGGGCTCTGCGCATCTGGAGGGTACGGCGAGATAGGTCCGCCAGGAGGAGGATCGTGGAGCCGTTAATCTGGATCTCATCAGACGCTCGTGCCGCCGACATCACCGCTTCTTTTACTGAATAAAAGTGCACTCTGCAGATGACATCCCTCGGGCGGTTGGGGGTGGCTGACCGCGGGCCCAAGGCCCGATGTGCACAGTCAATCTCTAGCGGCTCGTCGTTGGGCTTCCGCAGGAGTTGATTGAAAATAGCACGTACCATGTCAGGGAGAGCCGCAGGTTCCACTGATTCAGGAATCCCCCGGAGGCGGATGTTGTTGCGCCGGGATCTATTTTCCTGGTCATCCAGTTGGTAGATCAGATCGTGTAGCTGGATCGAGTGGTCTTGCAGTACCTGATGGTGTAGGTCCAATCTGGAAGATACTGTGTCCTGGGTAGTTTCCAGGTCATCCAAACGTGATCCAATATGGGCGACATCTGTTTTGAGCCCAACCATCTCGGGCTTGTATGCAGCCTCCATCCGAGACACAACGCTCCAGGTCTGGACGTGTAGGCAGTGAGCGAATATAGGCCTTCAGGTCATCCTCACCCTCTTCCCGGGCCGAAATCCGTAGGATCCACTGACTCCTCCGATACTGAAGCCGTCAACGGGGAGTGGGGGAGCCTAACCGAGGGGAGGATATACCAGCCTGGGTGTTAGCCCGTCCAGAAACGGATTCCGCACGTGGCGAGTTCCGGGCCTGATCAGATAGGCCCAATCCAGCCGGCGGGGCTGCGGGTGAATGCGGCGACCTCTGTGAGGCCTGGAAGAAGGTGGAGAGCTTCCCCGATTTACGTCCACCCATGCCCGGAGTTGTCTTGGGGTGTCTTTTGGTACCCATCAGGTGTTTAGGTCGCTAATGGAGCTGTAGAAAGGCTGTAAGGGGCGCCACGCATGGGAGCAGAGTAAAGATGCGACTCACTCCGCCATGCGCTGTCCAGGCCCCCCCGGTAACAAAGTACTTAAAGGGCATTTAGACCTCAAAACAAAAATGTAAACTATTGCATCTTACCAGGCCTTAGATGTTGTGTGTAAATAAGTTTTCTTTTTTTTCAGGCTTTATTTCCTTTATTTTTACCTGGTAGTCCTGCAAATAACACAACTCCTTTCCCCGTGGAGGCTACATTTTCTCCTACACTGTTTCTTTGGAGTGAGCCATGGTTGCCACCCAGGGTGGACTTCAAACATGTCTGTCTTTGTTCATTTCCATTTTATGGTGGCTGCTGGGATTGGTAATTTAGGGATTTATATATAGTTACATAGTTATACCGTATAGTTAGTCAGGTGGAAAAAGACATAAGTCCATCAAGTTCAAACTATAGAGATGAGAAAAAAAAAGAAAGAAACAACTAAAACAGAACAGTTACCCACTGTTTATCCAGAGAAGCATGCTTCAATTTGCTCCAACAGGGGTAAAATAATTCCTTTCTGATCCCATAAGGCAATATTCCCTGGATCAACAATCTCTGGTGCTTAATATACTTATAAGAAGTCAATATCCAGTAATATTCTGTGCATTTGGGAATATAGAAATTTAGCAGGGATGTTCAGATACCAAGTACCTTACTCGGTACAAGTACATGTACAGATACTTTTCCAGCTCCAAGAGTAGACTAGAGTAAATTCAAAAGTTAGGAGGCAGCTGTCATTTTTAAGGACCATACGGGACTCCTGGGATTTGTGCATCCCTGTTTTAATGTATAATTATTTTTTTTAATAAATATATATAAAGGATTCCAGTAATACAATTTTTTCAAGTACTGATACATTTTTGTTTATTGTCATGTGACAGTTTTTCTATAACAATAGAGACTAATGATTTCAGGACAGTGGTGGAGCACCAGAACCAGGTCCCAGCTGCAACCCTGATAGTTCTCGTGAAAATGCCAAGTTTCTGCACTGGTATCTGAACATCCCTAGAATTTAGAATTAGTAGATAAGATTTTCTTGCTTTTAGTGCAGCTCACAAAAAAAGTGACAAGGACACTGCATTTCTGGCAACAACATGTATTTTCTGTAATCGCTGAAAATGAAAAAAGAAAACGAATGCAGCCACTGGTAAACTACAACTGGGTTTATACATGCTTTGATGGCAGATAGCAATGAGGAAATCATACAACGTAATATGGAAATTATCAACTGAATATTTTACAGCTGTTCAAGTCATTGGTGTTACATTTTTTTGCATGTATGCCATCTTTATATATGACTGGTGATCTACATGTTTAGCTAGTATACACTTGAATTCATTGTATGATTATATTTATACCTATATCATTCTGATATCTGTTCACAGGCCAGTGGATTGGCTGCTGTTATTGCAATACTTATCATATTGCTCCTTATTGCGCTTGCCTTATTTTGGTGGTTTTGGCCTCTTTGCTGCAAAGTGGTAAGTAGTAAATGTAAATAAACATATATTAAAATATTATTAGTTTTTTTCTTTTCTGCATGAAAGAAAGATACAGCATTATCATTGAGTTTGTAATGGTGCCAGAAAAGAGACAATAAAAAGACAGTCAATAAAAATTGTCCTGCATATGGTGTCTTGAACACAAGTGATGAGCCAGATGTTTGCAAATTCCGTAAAATCATTGCCTTTATGTTTTAGAGGAGACCATCGTAGCAGTTAACAGCTTAACAGTGAAGCATTACCTGGTCCATTCCCACTAAAATATTTTAGAAATGCACTACAAATTAAATTGGTGGTTCGTAGTCCATTATAGTCTGTCATCTGTTATATGTTAATCCACTGCAGAAAAAAATATTACATTTCTTTTAGATATAAAATAATATTCCATTTAATCTATAAATTAATGTGTTTCATTCTACTGCTGATGGTTGCATTTCCAAAGCGCTGTCTTGCAGAGTAGTGATAATAGTTTTAACATTTGTAGCTTTTATAATCTCTTATATAGTGAATATACTTTTTTGTTGATGCACAGCGTTTGCATTTAGATATCTTAAGTGTAGCCAGATTAAAATAAATGCAATTTTTAATTTGTTATTCAAGCTGGGAAAATAAATCAACATCAAAGCAATCATCGTTTGTCTCTAAAAGCACTCATAAAGAAAAATCTATTGGTAATGCATGTATAAGCTGTGGGTATTGTTTTACATGTTTTCAGTGTTTAAAAAAGGAAATTGAATTGTTTTGCAATTATCTACTGTTTCATCATCTTCCTGTATACATGGAATTGCAATCTTGCTTCTCTCTTTTTAACATATGTAACATATATTTAAAGCAAGCTACCACTACTTAAAACAAAGCACAATGATAATTCCAGATCAAACAAATATAAATTGCCCTGCAAAGTATTTCTTTACATTTTTGCCCAAGCACCCACAGTCATCATGTTTCCAAACAGCTGGCTGAAACTATCTCAGCTCGGCTTACCTGAACTTCCTGTCAAGTACAAGATCACAAGGGAGAGCGCATTCTCTAGCAGCCATCCATCTACTAGCTTGGAGAAGGAAGGTGGAAGGAGCAGGGGTAGGGAAGTGACTTGGTTTGTTGTGCCTGTGCGTTTGTGTAGACATACAGCTTTCCAGTACAAACATGGGTGGCTCCATAGGAAGCTTGCAAGAGAAAGGTGATCCTACACGAAACCGAAACTTTTAAACATCAAGGAGCAGCATCTATTCTAAGAGATTTAAGCAGCATTTTTGCTGGCATTAAAAAACTTTTGACTTTAATATCACTTTAAGCTTGTCTGAAAAAGAAATTACTGTTGAAGTGGAGATGACTTGGAAATATACAGTAGATACTGATCTTAAATAGGTAAATCTGGAACAAGAATTGTAGGAACAATTAGCACTGAAACTCTGCTTTGGCCCACTCCTGCTAATTCACAAACATACAAATGACATAGGTGTGGAGGATGCTGCAGTAAATGGGGGCAAGGGCATCAATAGGAAACATACCTTTAGATTACACTGGGAAAGCAGCTGCCCCAGTATAATCTGTGGTGCTCAGTCCTCACAGTAGACTGTCAGAGTGACTCTTGGATGAATAAAGGCAGCAAACAGTTGTTGCAGAGTTCATTAACAAAATCACTGTGGGGTCTATTCACTAAGCTGCCGTAGGCAGCCGAGTGACTAACCGACCCCAAGCGAAGTGAGCCAAACGCTGTTCGGCTTTTCACTTCAGGCTGGTACGGCTGATTCCAGCCGTGTATCGGCTGAAATCAGCCGTACATCGGGTGGCTTTGTGTGGCTTCGGGTCGGCCGAAAAAAGAAAAAAAAAAGAACACACCATAGGAATGCATATCTAGATTCCTATTGGATATTTAATTTTGCAATAGTCAATAACAAACTAGCTGTTGCACCCACCCTCTGCTGCTGTCAATCACCAGAGGGGGACCTGATGGAAAGAAAAAAAAAACAAGCAGGGAAAGGTTTACTATACTCGATCGAGCAGAGTGAACCTTTCTGGGAGAAAGTGTTTCTCTCCCGGGCGGCCGGGAGCCTATTAGACTCCCATAGCGTCCAGAGGAGGAATGACAGAAGGCGTTCCTGGTTACCAAGTAACCAGGAACGCCATCTGTCATTACACACTGAGAACACGGAGAGGCCGCTCTCAGTGTGTAATGACAGCTGGTAATCAGGGACGCTGATCTCTCTGAAAGTGGCCAGAGCCAGCCATAAGATGACGGCTGGCTCCGCCCAGCTGTCAGTAGCAGGCTGTCGGTCGGCCGGCCGGCCACTGGCCGGCCATTCTGCCAGCTTCGGCTTTCACCGAACTGAGGCAGGCATATGCCTTCGGCTCGACTGAGCCGCTCGGCCAACTTCGGAAGCTGTACGGGCTATAGTGAATAGCCCGTACAGCAGCCCTTCGGTTCTCGTGAACCGAAGGGGTCCTGGGGCCGAAGCTAGCCGAAGAATCAGCCGAAGCTACGGCTAGATCCTTCGGCAGCTTAGTGAATAGACCCCTGTAACTATATTGTTACATTGTTGTTAGGTTAATGCTTATCCTTATATCTACTAAATTCAATTCCAGGAAACCTGTAATAAAAAAAAAAACAAAGTTCAACGCAGATTAATTATTGCTAACATCACCAACCACCATTCTTGCTACAGTACATTGACTTGTATTACAGTACAGTGTGTCTCTTCCTTTTGAACAGCCCTGTTGGCTCAAATATTTATGAGTTGGGAAGCAACAATCACACTACACAACATATCTCCTTTTTTCTTCTTTTTTCTTCTTTTTTTAATTTTTTGCAGATTTATTCAAAACAAAAATCAACAGATCACATTTAATTAATTTAAATATTATGAATTATAAACCCGTTCTTAGATCTTGGCTCCAAAGGCAGCTTCAGTCAAGCTTCTGTGCTGAACATTGAATTGCCTGCACTTAATTCTACATGTAAAGCAACCGTTGCTTATAGCCTGTTATATAATAGTAGAAAGATGTAATTAATTGCACACACCTTTGGTATTGCTTCACCAAAAGTATACTGCTGAATAATCCTCTGAATAATAATTACTTACAGTAATCAGTTACTCTTCAGTTGAATTGCAGTGTGGAGTGGATTGAATCCACACATGGTAGGTCTTGGAAAATTCAGTTTGGGTTAATGTGTTTCTATTTACTTTTTCTAGGTTATCAAAGATCCTCCCCCTCCTCCACCACCAGCACCAGTTGAAGAGGTACATTAGGTTTTTATTTTTCACTGTTAATTAACTTAATTGTTTGTTGAATCTATTAGCTTAATAACATCTAGTAAACTTGAATGATAACTGTAATAAGCACATCTAGATTTAGTTTGCTTTGGTTAGAGATGATAAATGCGTACCTCTGGTACTTACCTATATCCTTTAAACTAAAAACTGCATTATTTATGAGTAAAATATAAAGATGTAGCATTTCGGTTTTGTTATTGTACTCAGTTGGGAATTTAAAAAAATGCGTTTTCTATCTTGTTTTCCCCTCCCCTAATTTGATACTTTGTTTTTTAAGTGGTTCCATCATAGGATACTATGGAATCCTAAGATGAAATAACAACATAGTATCACAGATACAGATTATGATCTCTTAAAACATCGGACAATTTCTCAGTAGGTCTAATCAATTTACTTTCCTGTACAATAATGTGTTCGGCATGGCATGAGTTACCAGTAACCCTGTTTGGAGTAATGTATTAGTCAAAGCTGGGAAATGTTGTTCCCTGCTTCCCTATATTCTTTTCCATGTGGAGTTCATGGAAAATAGGGAATGATTATTCAATGGGGATGAAAGTAAAGGAAATACCAGACAGAAGTGTGATGCCCTTGGTATTTACCACACAAAAAAATAAGCTCATAAGCAAAAGCCTAAAATAGAAAAGGTTTTTTTTTTCCAAATCAAATGCATAGATAAATAATAAAGACTTATTTTTATAATGATGCTAATTATGTTTAATAACTTACTGATGTTTTCTAATAGAATGTGTATAAAAACTTTCTGTATTTTGATGTACATAGGAACCAGAGTCACCTACACCTAATAAGAAATGGCCCACAGTTGATGCTAGCTATTATGGTGGCCGGGGTGTTGGAGGCATTAAGAGAATGGAGGTTTGTAGCATCATCTTTTCTGGTTCACTATAAAGTTGTATTATAGGAGTACAGTTGTAATATATATAAGCTTTATGAAAGAACAAGTGTCCTATTTACTTATTAATTATGTGAAAAGGAGTGGATTGTTGCACACCTTGATGAACTTTCATCTGGTTGTCCTGATAGCATGCTATGTTGTTGGGCCATTCTCCTTTGTATATTAGTCCTGCCTTGGCCATGCTTATATTTTGATAGAAAGACACATAGGAAGACCCAACAGGCCATGGATATTGAGAAAATATTTTCATGTTTCAAACTATTTTATTTATTTTTTTAACTGTTGCATTTATTTGTCTTTAAAGAAGAACTCTGGGCAAAAACATATTAACCCTTGCCGTGGGGCTACCACCGCATTGCAAGGGTTAAGTGCTCATATTGTCTATGGAGCTAAAATAACAGAGTTATACTCACCCTGAACCACAATCACTGGCTGGCTCCTAGACCAGTGCCTTCATCCTGTCTCCTTCTCTGCTTTGGGCAATGGAATGTCCATAGGCATCCTCATGTCCCATACACTGTATAGAATGTGATGACTCTTGACCGGTCTAGGAGCCAGCCAGGATCATGGTTCGGGTGAGTTTGAGTTCCCTAGACAAAAAAAGCACTTAACCCTTGCAGTGTAGGGGTAGCACATCACTTTTATTCAGTGGATTTCAATTCTTTCAATCATGGAATTTTGCCATCACATGCAGAAATTACCTAGGGAAGTCTGCATGCTAATGCCCAATCTGCCAAATATCCACACATCAAGGTATTTCAATATTTACACAACTCCTCCCACCCACTGTATGCATCAGGACTAAGGACTCTTGAGAAGCGTACTGAGGCTGGGTGCGGTGATGTTTTAAAGGAAGCTATGCACAGTGCCCTGCCAGCTTCTTTCATTAGCCAAGATCTCCCTGCATTGCAAGTATAGAGACCCGGTGAATATGCCCCTGGGTCTAAAATCAGGTATATAATGAGAAAGGAAAGGTTTATTTTAGCATTTACTATAGCATGCTGATGAGCGGTAACGGAAGAACCAGGTAAGGCAAAATATAAAAAGCTTAGACTACAGCTTTAATGGAGTGAAAATTGATTTCTGATTGACTAGTAGTATAGATTTGGATACAGCATTGTTCCCTTTCTGATTGACTATTATAGATTTGGATACAGCATTGTTCCCTTTCTGATTGACTATTATAGATTTGGATACAGCATTGTTCCCTTTCTGATTGACTATTATAGATTTGGATACAGCATTGTTCCCTTTCTGATTGACTATTATTTTTTTGGATACAGCATTGTTCACTTTCTGATTGACTATTATAGGTTTGGATACAGCATTGTTCCCTTTATCTTGTTAATAAAGTGTCCATAATGCTTCAATATTGTCATCTCTCAGAGCCTGCTGTTTTAAAAATATTATAATACATAGAACGTAATACAAATACTACATTAAAAAAACAGTTCCGTATTGCACTTTTTTCTCAGTTTAGAAGTCATTTGATAGAGAGCTGCAACCACAGAATAAAAGCATAATTCTGCAGCTGCATCGCCTTAGTTGTATTAAATATAAGCGTGCTGTGGAACATGTCCTGATGACATCAGTTTGTCATTCCCTCATAAAGAGGTTATGAAAGAATGTTCTTTGTTTCTTTCATTTGAACTGTACATCAGATGAGATTACAACATGCTATTTCCGTTCCACTTATGTGTGGAGCTTTGTTTTAGAGTTATGGAAGAAATTAGTTTCAGACACAGCAGATTCTATGAGGATGGACAAAAACAAAAAGCTCCCTTACGAACCAACATCCTCAATAATAAAATGGGTCAGAAAGAAACCAAGTCACTCTGAAAAATACTAGATTACATTATGTTTGTCTGAATATGGACAGAGTGAACATATTTTAATGGGAATTCTTTGTTTAAAAATTGGGAACTATGTTCCTTTTCTGCATCTATTATAGTGTTCAATTGCATATGACGCTAAAAATTAAAATAAAGATAAATTATTTAACTGGTTGTATTACTTGTAACATCAAAACTGAACAGATATAACAAACCATGTTTTAATTATTTCATAAAATACTTAAAACATTGCTACATAAACTAGTAATATCTGAACACATTTTTAAAGAACATCTCTGGGGGGAAATTTATATTAACCCTTGCAGTGGGGCAACCCAACACTACAAGGGTTAACTGCTCATTTTGATCTAGGGAATACAATTTAAAAAAATACACATACCCGATCCTCCGAGATGGCTTGCTATTAGACTGGTCCTTCCAGTTTCACCCTTCCCCTCTGCAGCATTTTAAGAAGTCCCAAGTCATCACATTCTATGCACTGTGTATAGGATGTGAGGGCGCCGAGGGGCATATCATCGCTGGAGTGTAAGAGGAGACGGGCTGGAGGGATCCATGTCACATCCGGCCAGCTCTGAGGTTCAGGAGAGTATAACTTTTTTTATTTTAATCCCTAGACAAAAAGCAGTTAACCCTTGCAGTGCAGGAGTAGCCCTAGTGCAAGAGTTAATTCATTTTTCCCCCCAAATGTATTCCATAAATCAGCCCCCTATAAGGTATTCTAATAGCTAATCTGCATAATCTGTTATAGATTCATGCATGTACCATTTTTTCTAACTTATCTGCACTGTGCTGTACCAGATCAATGCAAACAATTGTTTTCTATGTGTCCCATTCACACAACAATATGGGTGTGATGAGCGGCATACGCACATGCTGCATTTTCGTGCAGTGCTATCGCAGATTGCCACATGGCTGCTGTGTGGGGACCTGAATGGTGTGTACTTATTGTACACCTCCAATAAAGTTGTTTTTTTAAATGTCATCGGTGACAGCTTCTGGCCGTGCGAATACAATGAACGCTACCGCAGCTGTCACAGAACACTAGCCCATCTGCTGAAACACAGTTTCATTGCATGGACTAATATGAATGGGCCCTTAAACAAAGCTCTGGTTTGCTGTGTATATACTGCTCCTCTCAATTTCTGAACATGCTTAAACATGGGGATGAACAATTTGCTCCTGCTCCTTCTTTGTACAGGTTGAGTTGGCTGGTGACCAATCTCTATTGTTTAGCTGCAAAGGAGAAGATAAGGTCACCAGCCTAACCATACTGTCTGGCAGAGGTGTACAAAAAGTAGCAGAGAAGAATTACAAATATTTGAAGTCAGATCACATATGTATTTCAACTGTGTATTTCAGTTCTCAGCTGTAGCTTAGCTTTACATTTGGTAGAATCATATTATGTCTCCCAGACTTGAAAGCATGAAATGGACTTAAAAAATTCAGTAGGTAGAGCTGAGAAGTAGAAATTAGTGTTAAAACATGCAGTAGGAAATAAGGTAATGTACTTATAAAAATAAACAAATTGTACATTTGATTATAAATAGCATCGCAAAGCACAGAATTACTTGTTTTTGTATAAAAAACAGATGGTATATTCCGTGCCATCACTTCTAGCAAAAATACAAAAACCTTATTTTAGGATAGCGGTGAGCACATTTCTTTATGCACCTATGACTAACACCCTAACAACAGCCTTATTTAGAGCCTGTTATTTAGAATTGCAGTACATACAGCTGTTTTGGGCTTTTTGGACCTAGAAACTAATAGTAATACATTCATAACAAAGGCTGTAATCAGTCCTGATAAAAAAAAGTACATGAATATAGAAAGAGTATAGTATGGCTTTTCTGCATGCTCAAATAACTTAATCTCCAAAATAAATGTATCATATGAATGTTCTGCAACCTTAATATTCAACTTGGTAAAAAACCAAGTGTCACTGTCTATAAAAATAAAAATATCTGTTCCCTCAGCTGTTCATCAATCAAATCACCTAAACCAGTGGTCCCCAACCCCCCGGCCGCGGACCGGTACCGGTCCGTGGATCAAATGGTACCGGGCCGCGGGGCCCCGCACTGCTGACGGGCTTCACAGTGAGGGGGCGGGTCCTGTGACTCACCTCCCCTCCCGGCCGTGTCCATAGTAACAGGCGGCGGGAGGGGAGGTGAGTCACAGGAGACGTGTGTGTCACAATCCCCGCCCCCTGCAGTGAGTGCACACAACTCCCTGGCTGGGTAAGTCCGAGTGTGGGAGGGGGGAGAGGGGGGAGAGGAGGCAGCAGCAGGAGCTGGGTACATATATGTTGGTCGGTATCTGGATGGGGGAGTTTGTAGAGGGGTGCGAAATATCTGGATAGGGGGGTTATAGAGGGATAATAGATATGTGGATGGGGGCTTGTAAAGGGGTCATAGATATGTGGCGGGGGGGGGGATTTGGTGTAACTGTATTTTATTTTGAAGGCATGTTTAAATACAATTAAATTAAAATTATTAAATCAAAACAATCTAAAATATAAACAATCAACGTCCCCCCCTCAGCGGGCCACAGTAAAATTATCAAACGTTGACCGGTCCACGGCGATAAAAAGGTTGGGGGGCACTGACCTAAACCACCCCTTCCAAATGTATACACAACTCCAATTCAGACACTAATTCAGCCTAATTTTCTATATCCAGGTCACATTGTCATCTGGGACATGATCTGATCAACTCTACAGATGAAGGAAATTGCTTTACACAGTATAATTTATCATGAAATAGACATTTTCTTCGATTAAAGAAAGACTAACTGGTGTAATTACATGTATATTTAAAGTAAATGTTGCTGAATTAAAGAAATGTAAAAAAAAGCACAACCTACAAAATAGTTTATATTCACTCTCCTGCCACCCATTCCTACAATCTTCACTTTGTTGAAAAGTTACAGCCTCTGGTAGACTCTTCACATCTGACACTTGCAGAAGTGTCAGATGCCTGTGTCCCATGCCACGCACCCTGTTCCATTCTCTAACCCCAATGTCACTACTGTGTCCTGTAGTAATGAAGAAGGTGGTTCAAGATGAACCACAGCAGGGGTTCAGGTATCTGACACACCCGTAAGTTTGTCAATCATGAAGAGGCCCTAGCATTGCATGAAGTTCAGAGAGACAGGTAGTGGTATAGGTGAGTTTAAACCCTCTTATTTTGCAGGTGGTGATTTTTTACATTTTTTAACATTGCAGAGTCACTGTAAAGAGAATTCATGGACTGAGCCATCGCTCTTATCCTTGCTACAGTAAATAGTGAGTCACAGATCTGAAAAATGCATGTGCATATCAGATGTGCTGACTCCGGATATGCCTATGGTTGTATCATGTGAAACGTACTTAAAGGAGGATAGGATTCCAGCCCTGAAGCAAAAAAAAGCCTAATAGGCTACAAGAACTCATGGCTGTTCTGCCTAAATCATCCATCTCTACCAGTCATGTTACTTAAACACATGTAATAGTCAAGATAATATTTTAGTATTTGTTTTCTGCACTTGTAACTTAATAAACTATGTGCCGCATAATAGTATGATGCAAACAACAGGCACAACATTGCCTAAGTAAAGCATCAGAAAATTCCATAAAAATATATAGATTAAGAAAAAAACAAAAATAGAACAGCTGAACTATAGCCAAACAGCTAAATATACAACTGAAATACAGATACTGTTTTACCTGCCAGAGGATTTGTATGTATGTCCATTCTGTTCTGAGATTTATACAGCCCTGCCAGACTGCACAGCCAGCCTAGTGGCCTTATTCTTTTCTGCTGTAGTTAAGCAATACAGCTTGGTCACCTCCCTGTCCTCTTCTCATGAATGGACAGTTAAGAAGCAGCAGCAGTTCACCCCCTCCGCTTACACATTGTGCGTGCACACCCCTTTCCTCCTGTCAGCATGTTCTTATACAGCCCATGTACATGCAGCACACCAGATTGGCTCAGTCTCCTCCTCTCCCAGAATGTTGCTCTGCAGGGGGTTACAAGGGATGAGGGAATACAACAGATGTATACCACGTCTAATTTAGGTTCTTCTACAAACTGGATTTACATCATATTATTTTATAATGGATATGTAACTGCATTAGTTGGTGTTTTAATATTTGTCTGGAGTTCAGCTCTAACGCTTAACTTCAACAAAACTTGTTTTTCGTTTTGGATAGAGTGGAAAAGAGCTACTTCCTGTTAGCGAGCACATATCCACAAGTTAACAGTTGTCAGAAGAAAAAGAGGGAAGAGTAACACCCTTCTAGTGAAAATAGTAAAAATTATCTGATATTGGATTTCCATTCATTTTAAGGATGTTACCTCTCACTCACTTTTCCCAACAAAGATACAGACAGCAATGAAACCCTGGCAAAGGTTTTAAATTAGGGACCGACCAATATTGATTTTTTTGGTACCGATACCAATTATTGGCCACCTTTCAGGCCTATAACCGATACCAGGTACCGATATTCTGTTGGAATGAATGTAAACAGCAGGCAGTTGTCCGATATCGGCCGATTCCCTGTTTTCTTTTATTCTGACAGCGGCCGCTGTCAGAATACAAAGAAAACAAAAACAGCATTAGCTTCCCTGCTATCTGCTGATTCCCCTGCTATCCTTTTTTTTTCTTCATTTTGACAGCGGCCACTGCCAGAGTAAAGAAAAAAGATAGCATGGGAATGAATAGCTAGGCTGCTACTGGCTATTTCAAATTGCAATAGCCAATAGCAGGCTGGTTATTGCAACAACCCAAAGCAGCAGAGGTGGATCTGAAGGAGAAATTTGCACAGTGTTTATTATAGATAATATAGATCACTATTGACCAATATTTATCACTAGAAAGTCTGTAAATAGTGGCCCCAATTATCGGTAGATCCGATAATCGGTCAACCCCTATTTCAAATACTACCCACTCTATCCAAAACTTAAAAGTTTAGAGTCGTTACTGCTTCACTTCTTGCACTATATTGCACACAAATATCACAATATTGTGAAATTTTTTTTTCTCTACTGTCAAGTAGTGCAGACTTTTCCCTCTTTTGTTTCACAATGAACTCTAGATTTATAACAATCTGACATACTGTATATGAAAAGCTGAGTTATGGTTATGTTGTCTACATACTGCACTGTGTCAAATTAAAATATACTTATTTTATTTATTCAAAATACATGAACTAAAATATGTTAATATATTTAGCTCATAAAATATTCTGGTTCTGCTTGTAACTCATAATGATTTCTTGCTCATATGTTGTCTCTTTTAGGTGCGTTGGGGAGATAAAGGCTCTACTGAGGAGGGTGCAAGGTTAGAGATGGCCAAAAATGCTGTTGTAACAATGCCAGAGGAAGAGGAAATGCCTATGCAACCGAAATCTCAGAAACCTAAACATAGCTCATCAGCATATCAAACAAAATGGTATACTCCAATTAAGGTAAGCACCTGATTTGAATACAATTATGTGTTTTATTATTCCTAAAACCCTGAAAAAAGAACTGTTCTAAAAAGTTCTACACTCACCTGTTATTTAATCCTGTTTCTGAAATATAAATTGAGACATGAGATTTTCATGACTAGCTCTAAAATAACACCTGTTAGCAATCTTAGGGGTCTATTCACAAAGCTGCCGTGAGCAGCCGAGTGAACAACCGACCTGAAGTGAAGTGAGCCGAACACTGTTCGGCTATTCACTTCAGGCTTGTACGGCTGATTTCAGCCATACATCAGGTGGCTTGGGGTCGGCCAAACATGCTCAGCATGTTCGGCCGACCTGAAGTGCAGAAGGAGTTCGACTCAGCCGATCCAATATCTGGATCGGCTGAGCCGAACCTCCAGGAGGCTACTCGCTGCTGTTCGGCCTATTCTCATAGATGCCGAACAGCAGTGAGTGAATAGCCGAATGCCGCTGAGCGGCATTCGGCTCGGCTATTCTGTGGTACCGAGCAGAATAGTAAAACAGTTAAAAAAGTAGAAAAAACTAAAATATAAAACAATTGGGCGGAGCTAGCAGTGACAGCTAGCTCCGCCCAACTGTTTTCTATTGGTCGGGACCAGCTGTCATTAGAATTAGAGCTTGTTGGAGCTGGTGGGGATATGAAAGCCGACTCTGCTAAGCTCTCATCCTAATGACAGAACACCAGCAGACGCTGTTCTGTCATTAGGATGAGAGCTTAGCAGAGTCGGCTTTCATATCACTGCCGGATCTCCTAAGCTCTAGTCAGTGATTTTGCAGCAGCTCCGACAGGTTCTCAGTGTAATGATAGAACGGCGTCTCTGGTTACCTGGTAACCAGGGAAGCTGATCTCTCTGCAAGTGGCCGGAGCCAGCCATGAGATGACGGCTGGCTCCGCCCAGCTGTCAGAAGCAGGCTGTCGGCCGGATTTGAATTTCCCCTGGGCTCAGTGGGGCTGAAGCATATGCCTTTGGCTCGACTGAGTCCCTCGGCCAACTTTGGGGGCTGTACGGGTTATAGTGAATAGCCCTACAGCAGCCCTGAACTGAAGGGGTCCTGGGGCTGAAGCTACCCGAAAGATCAGCCGAAGCTACGGCTAGATCCTTGGTAGCTTTGTGAATAGACCCCTTAGTTTCTTGTTAGTTGAAGCAGCCAGATGCCACATAGCAGGACACAAGTTCTACTATTGCGAGTTAACCTTCACCTGTTGCCAGAAGCAGCTCAAAGTTAAAACTTTGATCAAAAAAATGCCTTAAAGTAAAGTTGAAGGGAAAAAAAAATTGGAGGCCGCCGTTGCTTACCTCTATATCAAACAATGGTGGTTGCCTGGCTATCATGCTAAACCAATAGCTTAAATACTTTTTGAAGCACTGATTCAGTTAAGTAGATTAGTAGTAGTGATTTCACTCTAGAAGCTTGTTCAGGGCAGTGGCGCAGAAAGTATAGAATTTAGAGACAGGCAGGCAGTTTGTATTCTTAACAAGCAGATCCGTAATGGCAACCTGCATATTCCTCTCAGCACAGGTTTTTTTTAAACACTTGGGGATCTTTTGCATAGGAAATGTAACCTAAAAAACATTAACAAAGTTTCTAGGCCACTTTGTCTACGTCCTGTCCCTCTCCCCCCTCCCTACCCCTCCCCCCCCCCCCCCTCTTTTCAT